GCCGGCTGGGCAGTCAAAGGAAGACCCAGGCCCATCCCCTCTCCATCCTAGGGCACGCAGGGAGGAGAGGATAAGGGAAAGACGTGAATGGGGTGGTCTAAGGGGGAGGAAAGAGCCTTGATCCCCTTCATGGGCTGCAGCTGTGAGGACTGGTTAAAAGGACAGACATGCGTATGGGCCAGTGCTGGAAACAAAGCTTGGAAATATCTCTCGTCTGTTGTTCCTCACTGAGTTTGGCATCCTTCCCAGTGTGTGTTCCGATATCTGTGGACATCTTCAAGCCCTTATCTTGCCTGGTTCCCTTAATTGCTTCAGTGCTGTTTGTGTTGTTTGTACTCTTTATAATTTATAGGCATTTTGAGTTTAAACTAGGCATTAACTTCTTTTCGTAACTGTTTGTGGGGGAGTTTTTTTGACTCCAAGGATTTTGGAGCAAAGTGAAGGAATAAAAGGGGCTTCACCTGTTTTTGTGACTGTGTTTATTTTGTATCCCACCCTGGGTCATCACAAAAGGATTTTCGAGGGCAGTATACCCGGTTGCCTAAGTTACAGTCTTTGTGAGATAAGCTTGGAATGTGCTTCTCTGATTTTATTTGCCGTATGCTCCTTCAGCCCCCCACCCCCCCTTTCTCATGGCAACTTCGAAACAGGCATAGGAATGTTTTACAAGTTGATACTTGTCCTGTTTTCTACCAGCCTGTTGGGCAATTTGGCTAGACCAGGTGACTTCTTTAGGATTCGGTGCATCGTATGATTCCCCCCCACCCCAAATAAGTGACTTCCTGAACCTCTTGGTTGACTCCAGTTAATTTCCTCCTGGTTCTGACTTCACTCTTTCCTCTTCTTCCTCTAGCGGCCTAATCACACCAGGCGGCTTCTCTTCCGTTCCCGCCGGCATGGAGACACCAGAGCTGATTGAGCTGCGTAAGAAGAAGATCGAGGAAGCCATGGATGGGTAAATTGGCTCTCTTCACATCCCTTCTCTCCTCTTGGGGACTAGCAAACCGTCTTTGGTGGAGAAGAAGTTGAGTTTGGAGAGATCTAGAGCAGGGGTGTCCAACCGTGGCAACTTTAAGACTTGTGGACTTCAACTCCCAGAATTCCTCAGCCAGCAAAGATACTAAACGCAACGTAACATCACAATCAGGCTTAATGTGATAGACTTCTATGCAAGGGGAAATGTGTGCTAGTTTATTACTTACCTGGGGCTAGGGACTTCTTTTTATTTGGTTTTTTTTTTTGGAGATGTAATCCGTGTTCTTGGGTGGGGACCTGCACCAAAGGAGTCGCATTCAATTCCATTGCACACATGTTGTGCATTGACCATAAAGGCTTGAACTTTGAAGACAACACCAGAGGGAAGAGCAGAGGGGAGGATAAAGGAAAGCTCGAGGGACATTTTCCCCCTAACACAATATGGTTTGTTTTATTTTATTTTTTTGTTTTTATTTTATTTTATTAACAAATGCATATACCTGCCCAACTCACAGCGACTCCAGGCAGTACACAACATGAAAACTCCACAAAAAAAACTTGTAATTTAATCCCTCCCTATGTAATTCTTATAGCAGTATGGCATGGTGGTGGTGGTGGTTTTTTAATTTTTATTTTATTTCCTGCTCCAAAATTCTCTGCCCCCCCCACAGAAGCGAGACGCCCCAACTATTCACGGTTCTGCCGGAGAAGCGGATGCCAACGGTTGGGGGTGCCATGATGGGATCCACCCATATCTACGACATGGCCACAGTAAGGATTGGATCGGTCTCTCTTTTTACTTTAAGATGGGCCCTATATACCGGTGGTGGGATTCAAATGTTTTTTACTACCGGTTCTGTAGGCATGGCTTGGTGGGTAGGGCAGGGGAAGGATAATGTAAAATCCCCATTCCCTCTCCACCCTACTAACCTGCTTTCCAGCTCCGTTCTCCTGTGCAGGGCAACCAGAGAAGACCCAGCCAATCAGCTGGGACTCGGGAGGTGGAGAATAGATGGGGGTGGGGCCAATCAGAGGCGGTATTTGCCGGTTCTCCAAGCTACTCAAAATTTCTGCTCCTGGTTCTCCAGAACTGGTCCAAACTGGCTGAATACCACCTCTTGGCTACGCCCCCTCCTAGCCAAGTGCCCCCAGCGTCCCCAAGGTCAAACGCAACCCTGATGTGGCCCTCAACGAAATTGGGTTTGACACCCTTCAACGACACGCACGCCTCTAATTCAGCAGAGTGAACTCTTCGCACAGCTTTTTAAAGCTGCTTGAAACACTCACGATTCCAGGTGGATTGGATGACAAATCCCATAATTAACCCCCGGGATTGCCTGTGCCCTTGACTTTTTCTGGTCAGTCCAATGGTGAAGAAAGAAACTTGTTTTCTTGAAATTAAGACGGGGAAGAACATGCTCGTTTAATTTTATGTAATCCTTCCACATATGTGGTCTGGGTTCCCACACCAAACCCAACCCCGATTGAATAAGAAAAGAAAATTTATATGCTCACATTGAGGGTGGGAGATTGGATTCCTTAAAGCCATGTTTCTCCACCTTGGCAGCTTGAAGATGGATGGACTTCAACTCCCAGATGCTGGCTGGGGAATTCTGGGAGTTGAAATCCACCCCTCTTCAGGCTGTCACATTTGAGAAACTGCAATGCTATGAATCACAAAACCTTCCATTTCATCCAGCTGTAACTCTGCTTTTTAAGCCAACCTACTGCTTATGATTTCTGACACTGCTCACAATCCATTCCATTTCAATCATGTGTTGATTAGGTTCATATTTCAGGTGCTTACAGTGAATAATAATACTCTTTCTTTTCAATATAACAATAATCACATTCCCAGATAAGTAATATCCAGTATACCTATTTCACAAGCTTCTCTTATTGCTTGATGAATACATCTAGTCTACTTTAATTTGTTTTAATTTCTAGCCATTGGTAAAACAAATCCCATATCATCTAATATTCAGATTCTTCTTTTTCTTTCATTTCTAATGTTAATCTATTCATTTCTGCACATTCAAATATCTTTTTCAATTACTTTTCCCTCTATCAGTGTCTTATCGCTTTTCCAATTCTGAGCAAATACAATTCTAGCTGCTGTTAATACATAGAATAGAATTCTTTATTCTGAATAGAATAGAATAGAATAAGGAATAGAATAAGAATAGAGTAGAGTAGAATAGAATATAAAGGATAGAAATAATAGAATAGAATAGAATAGAATAGGAATATGATAGACAATAGAATAGAATAGAATATAAAGGATAGAAATAATAGAATAGAATAAGGAATAGAATAGAATAGAATAGAATAGAATAGAATAGAATAGAATAGAATAGAATTCTTTATTGGCCAAGTGTGATTGGATACACAAGGAATTGGTCTTTGGTACATATGCTCTCGGTGTACATAAAAGAAAAGTTAAAGTCATACAGTCACAAGTGGGAGGGGATGGGTGAAATTGAAGGATGGGAAGATTAATAATAATAGTAGACTTTGTAAATAGTTGGACAGTGTTGAGGGAATTATTTGTTTAGCAGAATGATGGCGTTCGGGGAAAAATGTATTTTATGGAATAGAATAGAAAATAGAATAGAAGAGAAGAGAGAATAGAATAGAATAGAAAATATCATGGAATGGAATGGAATGGAATAGAATAGAATAGAATAGAATAGAATAGAATAGAATAGAATAGAATAGAATAGAATTCTTTATTGGCGAAGTGTGACTGGACACACAAGGAGTTTGTCTTGGTGCAAATGCTCTCAGTGTACATAAAAGAAAAGATACATTCATCAAGAATCATCAGGTACAACACTTAATAATAATAGTCATAGGTTACAATAAGCAACCAAATCATACTAGGAAACAGTCAATATAAATCATAGAGATACAAGTGACAAAGTTACAGTCCTACGGTCACAAGTGGGAGGGGATGGGTGATAAGGAGTGATGAGAAGGTTAATAGTAATAGTAGCGCAGACTTTGTAAATAGTTCTTTACTGTAACCTTCAGGTACCATTCCTAAAACCGTCGTAGCTTAAAGGGCTCTTAATGGGGTGGACCTGACTTCCTTCCTCATCCCTGATCTAATGCCTCCCCCTTCCCATCTCCCGTCTTCTTTCTCTCTCTCTCTCTCTCTCTCCCCCCCCCTTGCAGGTCATGAGCCGCAAAGGGCCGGTCCCCGAAATCCAAGGGGTGGAGGTCGCCCTGGCGCCCGAAGAGTTGGAGCTCGATCCCATGGCCATGACCCAGAAGTACGAGGAGCACGTGAGAGAGCAGCAGGCCCAAGTGGAGAAGGAGGACTTCAGCGACATGGTGGCCGAGCACGCGGCTAAGCAGAAGGTGAGAGGAGGAGGCGCCTTCAATCCCTCAAACTGGAGCGACACCCTAAGATCAAAACAAAGGGGAAAAGACCCAACTATTTTTGTTAACCGGGGCAAGAAGCAACAGGTGGAAAACTAACCAAGGAGAGAAAGCAACCTAGAATTAAAGGCAGGGTTTCCTGACCGTGAGACCAATTAGCCAGTGGAACGCCTTGCCACCAGAAATCGTGGTGCTGTATCATTGGAGGTTTTTCCAAAATAGACTGGACCACCATTTGTCTGGAATGGTATAAGGTTTCCTGACTGAGCAGGAGGTTGGACTAGAAGACCTCTAAAGTCCCTGCAACTCTGTTATTCACTCTAGCTAGGCAAAATGGTGCCAGA